TCACCTGCAAACTGAGTGTAGGCTGTGTCTTGGAGGAAGGCGCCACAGCCAAAGTCGATCAGTTTCAGCTGCCCGCTGGCCAGGTCGAGCAGGACATTCTCGGGCTTGATGTCCCGGTGCAGGACCCCGCAGCTGGTGCAGTGCCGCACGGCCTCCAGCACCTGGCGGAACAGCCCCCGCGCCTCCTCCTCCGGCAGGAACCCCCGCTCCGCCAGGAAACCCGAGAGTTCCTGGCACCGCTCCGGACGCTCCAGCACCAGCAGGAAGCTGTCAGGGAGCTCAAGCCACTCCAGGAGCTGAATAACACCACCACAGCCACGGGACACCTTGGCCAGCAGCACGATCTCCAGCGGGGCGCTGGTGCCGTCGGGCTGCGGGAGGAGCGCGGTGCCGTCAGTGGGGCCGAGGCCGTGCCGGGGCTCTGCGAGCCCTCAGCCAGCCCGGGATGCTCTGCACGCCCCGCTCAGCCCACGCCCGCTCTCCCCGCAGGGCTCCCAGCGGCTCCCACCCTGCCGGGGCCCCGGCTCCTCGCCGCCTGGCACGGCCCGGCTTCTGCCGCTGGCCCCGCTCACTCACCAGCTCGCCCCAGTGCCGGACGCGATCCCTCGGCACGCATTTGATGGCCACCTGCGAGCGAGGGAGAGCAGCGGGCTGAGCTCGCCACCCGTCCCGCCGCGCCCCGACCTTCTCCTCCTCCTCCCTCCTCCTCCGCCCCCTCCTCCCGTGCCCGCCGCCGGCCCCGCCGCTCACCGGGACGCCGTCCGAGAGCCTCGTGGCCGCGAAGACGCTGCCGAAGCCGCCGCGCCCCAGCAGCGAGCCCAGCCGGTACCGCTCCTGCAGGGCCTCGTGCGCCTCACCTGCGGGCGGGACGCGGCTGTCAGCGCTCGGCCCGGGGCCAGCAACGACCCCCGAGCGCCCCTCACCCGCCCCGGGCCCGGCATCCCCAACCGCCCCGGGCCGCGGCGGCTTGGGGCTGGCGGCCGCGCTGCCGAGCGGCGGAGCTCGGGCCGGGGAAGCCGCAGCGGAGGCGGCGGGAGCGGCCGCGCCGCGTGTGTCCTCCGCGGGCCCCGGGAGGAGCCGGGGCTGGGGCCGGGGCCGGGGCCGGGGCCGGGACTGGACCCTGCGTCGGGTCCGGGGCCGGGCTCGGGCCAGGCGGAGCCGAAGGGCGGCGATGCCGCCCCCGCACCAGGCACTGATGCCCGCCCAGCAGCGCCACCGCCAGTACGGCCAGAGCCAGGCGGAGGCGAGATCGCGGCGGGACGGCCGGGGCCGGGCTCGGGGCAGCCCCGCCCGGGGCCGGGGGCGGGCCGGGGGCATGGCCTGGCCCGGCAGGGGAGAGGGAGGCGGGGAGAGGAGAGGGACGCCGGGCAGGGGACCCTGAGAGAAGGGTGCCCGACAGCGGGAAAGGGAGAGAAAGAGAAAGAAAAAGAGAAATGGAAAGAGTGTTGAAAACTATCTGTTTGCTGCTGCTGCTGTCGCCGCTGCTGCTGCCGCTGCTGCTGCCGCTGCTGCAACTGAGGCACCGGGGCCGTTCGTCCCCGTGTCCGTTCCCCGCTCGCCCCACGAGCCCCACGTTCGAGCCCCGCATGCCCCGGGGACAGCCCCTCCGTCTGTCCAAACACGGGAACTTTGCAGCCTTGAGCCCAGATGCAGAGCCCTGACTCCTGCGCACTGGCACAGCGATCCCCTCGCTTGCTGCTGTGCATTGTCCTTGCTGAGGGTCAAACACTTTCGGGGCACCTTCCCTTGGGGTAGGATTCCTACCTGACCCCAGCACTGCACTTACATGTCCAGTGTTGCTTTCCAGTAAAAACAGGAGAAGGAAAACTGTGTGTGGCTCATGGTATTTTAGAAGGCCTAAAAATCCCTAAGTCACTGATCTTATAGGTGAGGTACATCTGGAATTACTGGGATGCAACATGGAAAAGGGGAGCATAGAAATAAATAGAGGAAAACATCTTGGATTGTTTCTTCCATTTTCATTTCACTTCTGGAAAGCTGTTTCAGTTTTCCAGGAATCTTGTCCTGTCTGCTCTTCCCAAGAATTTCTCATGGAGAACAAGGTCAAGCTTCTGTCACAAGATTTGCCACCAGGAAATTATGCCACTGGTGAAGTTTTCATTGTGACTGTTTGTGCTGGCTTAGGGCAAATTTTGGGAGGAAACCTCCAAAAGGAATCCATCTAGAAAGGAAGTTCAAGCAGCCCCTCCCCCTACTAGTTCAGGAAAAGACTTCCCTCGAGAAAAGTGAAAAAAACCTCAGTTTATTAAACAAGTAAAGTATTCACAAGCATGAAAAATGAATAATATTAAATAAAACCTCGGACAGTGCTGAAGAGATGGCAAATTCAGAAAGTCCTTGTTGTGGGTTGTAGTTGGCTCACTCGGTCTCTTCTAAGTCCCTCTGGTGCTGGAATGCAGCGTCCCAGAGCTCAGGGGGCCACAGGTGTGAGCTGCAGGTGTTTGTCTGGGTTTTCAGTCCAGAGCAGGTTTAAACAGTTCCAAGAAAAAGGAAAGTCACAGTCCGAGGAACTTCTCTTCCTAAGCTAGCTAAAACCAAATTGCTGGACCTGGGCTGTGAAGGCATTGGGAAATTTCCAAATCTGTGCACTGGCGGTCTCAGCAAACACTAGATCTGGATGGTGCTGGAGTCAGAACCTTGAAATTTCCAAAATTTAGATTTCTGTGCCAGCAAATCACTGGACTTGGGCTGTGCAGGCACCAGGAAATTTCCAAATCTGGGTACTGGGGCAGCAAACACAAGATATGGGAGGTGCCAGACCCAGTAGCAGGAAGTTGCCGGGTTTTGGATTTCTGTGCCAGCAAATTGCTGCACTTGGGCTGTGCCAGAATAGGGAAATTTTCAGGTCAAGGCACTGGCAGTGCCAGCAAACCCCACATTTCAGGAAGGATTGGATCTGGACCCTTCCCTTCCCTTCCCTTCCCTTCCCTTCCCTTCCCTTCCCTTCCCTTCCCTTCCACAAGGTGCCAGAGGGGCTGGACAGCAGCCAGGCAGAAAGGGACCTGCAGGGGTGATGGACAGCAGGCTGGACATGAGCCAGCAGTGTGCCCAGGTGGGCAAGAAGGCCAATGGCTCCTGGCCTGGCTCAGGAATGGTGTGGCCAGCAGGAGCAGGGCAGGGATTCTTCCCCTGTGCTCAGCACTGCTTGGGCAGCACCTTGAGTGCTGTGTTCAGTTCTGGAGCCCCCAATTAAGAAGGACATAGAGGGGCTGGAGCGTGTCCAGAGAAGGACAACAAGGCTGAGGATGGGTCTGGAGCACAAGAGCTTTGAGGAGTTGCTGAGGGAGCTCAGGTTGTTTATCCTGGAGAAGTGGAGGCTCAGGGGAGACAAGGCAGTGTCAGGGCACAGGGTGGACTTGATGATCTCCAAGGTCTTTTCCAGCCTTGCTGATTCTGGGATTCTCTGGAACCACCCTTGGAGCAGTTGCAGGAGGAGCCCTGGGCCTCCTCTTCAGAAGCTCCAGCAGCCCAGGCCCCTCAGCTTCTCCTGCCAGCCCCAAAGCCCATCCTGTCAGTCCTGCAGAGCCTCTGCAGCTCCTCCTCACTGCCCAGAACACGGAGCCCCAGAGCCAGACACAGCAGCCCAGATGTGCCCCCCTGGCCTGGGGTGCCTCAGGCAAGGGAGCAGCACCAGGCACTTCAGGAGTCTGCAGGCAATTCCTGCAGCACTTGTAGGATGATCCTGCTGCCCAAGGGACGTTCCCATGGGGACAAGTCAGGAACTGCAATGGGGAGTGGGGCCAGAGAGGAAAGGGCAAACAGGGATGGGCTGTTTGCAGGGGAGGGGACAGGGCTGGGCAATAGGAAGAAATTCGTATAAGGAAGAGTAAAGAAAGCAAAGGCAAAGCAAAGGAAATGGTCAGGGCAGTTTGGGGGTGGCTGCCAGGCAGCCCTGGCTCTGAGCAACAGCGTCTGCAGTGGGACAGGGAACTCCCAGCTGATGGGAACAAACTTTCTGGCTGACTGCAGAGGCCAGGACAAAGCTGAGTGGTTTCCCTGGTGTCCCCCAGCCCTTGCTGGCCCCAGGGGCTGATGGCATTTGTGCTCCCTCAGGTTCATGTCCCCACACCAACAGCATGGGGGTGCTCCCCCTGCTCTGTGCAATGCAAACAGGGGCTGCTGAGCCAGTGCTGCCGTGTCTGTGCCTGCAAGGATGGGGCACCTGTGTGAGCTGGGGGAGAGGCCAGGGCTGCAGAGGGGGGATGTTGTTGGCAGCTCCATGAGGACGCTCTGGGACGCTGCCCTGGGCTGTGCAGCGCACTGGGGATGGATCAGCCCCTGCTCTGCTGCTCCTTCCCATCTGCCCCAGGGCCCTTGCAGAGCCCCAGCCATGCTGTTTGCCCCCAGCCTGCCCACGGCCAGCCTGGGGCTGCTCACGGGGTTTTCTGTGCTCAGCATTGGCCTGGCCGTGTTCTTGAGAGAGCCTGTGCAAGGAGCCTGGAGCCCCCAGGCCCTGGGCTGAGGCGTCAGCGCTGCCCCAGCAGTGCCCATGGCCTGTCCCTGCTGCAGCCCCGGCACTGCCACCCCCAGGGCTGTGCCCGGCCCCGAGAGCACTCAGGCCCTGCAGCAACACCAGGGCCGCCAGGGCAGCGGGGCAGGGCCATGGCAGCAGCACTGACAACACCAAGTGCTGCTGGTGCTGGGCACAGCTGCTGGGCCAGCACTGATCTGCCCCAGCTCTGCACACAGACATTGCTGCTGCAGCTCCAGAGAAGGCAGCGAAAGGGCATCTCTGCAGAAAACTTTGCTGGGGGATCCTTGAGTTCCTTCAAAGCCACCAGGAGTGCAGCCCCTCATTGGCACAGTTTGTGTCCACAGGGAAGATGGAGAGAAACAAAATAAGAAATGATACAATGAATTGATTTTCACTGTACACCATATTATTAAAATAAATAAATAAAAAAACCTCAAAACCAAACCAACAAGAAATATCAAAGATAACTTTTATTACAAGTGATTAGCAGAAATTGGCCAGCAGTTTAATGTTTCTGAAACCATCCAGTCATCAGCCTCCACACTGCAACCTTGAGCTCCTGGTTCCTCAGGCTGTAGATGAGGGGGTTCAGGGCTGGAGGCACCACCGAGTACAGAAGTGACACTGACAGATCCAGGGATGGGGAGGACATGGAGGGGGCCTTCAGGTGAGCAAAGATAACAGTGCTGAGGAACAGAGAGAGCACGGCCAGGTGAGGGAGGCAGGTGGAAAAGGCCTTGTGCCGTCCCTGCTCAGAGGGGATCCTCAGCACAGCCCTGAAAATCGGCACATAGGAGAAAACAATGAACACAAAACAACCCAATACCAAACAGGAACTAACAGCAATGAGCCCAAGTTCCCTGAGGTAGAATTTGGAGCAGGAGAGCTTGAGGATGTGTGGGATTTCACAGAAGAACTGGCCCAGGGCATTGCCATGGCACAGGGGCAGGGAAAATGTATTGGCTGTGTGCATGAGAGCACTGAGAAAGGCACTGGCCCAGGCAGCTGCTGCCATGTGGGCACAAGCTCTGCTGCCCAGGAGGGTCCTGTAGTGCAGGGGTTTGCAGATGGACACGTAGCGGTCATAGCACATGATGGTCAGGAGGCAAAACTCTGATCCAAGGAAGAAATAAATCAGAAAGAGTTGTGTGGCACATACAGTGTAGGAGATATTCCTGGTGTTCCAGAGGGAATTGTGCATGGCTTTGGGGACAGTGGTGCAGATGGAGCCCAGGTCGCTGAGGGCCAGGTTGAGCAGGAAGAAGAACATGGGCGTGTGCAGGTGGTGGCTGCAGGCTACGGTGCTGATGATGAGGCCGTTGCCCAGGAGGGCAGCCAGGGAGATGCCCAGCAAGAGGCAGAAGTGCAGGAGCTGCAGCTGCCGCGTGTCTGCCAGTGCCAGCAGGAGGAAGTGCCTGATGGAGCTGCTGTTGGACATTTGCTGGGGCTGCACATGGGGACCTGTTCATGAGGAAAGGATAGTGAAGAGTTTTAGGAGATGTCTATAACCAAAAACAAAGCCATTTCCCATACACCCTCTTCTGTAAAACACATGGACACGCTTGTCTGTTTAAGAGTTCTGAGGTTTTCTTTTTAAGCTCTCCCCATGTTTCTCCTGCTCTTCCAGGATATCAGAAACCCTTGGCATTTCTGCTGTCCTTGGTATAACAGAGTTCCCTGTGGCAAGATAATGAGTGGAGACTGGAGGGAGAAGGTCTCACTTGATTGTGTTTGGAGTTTCTTTGGGCTTTCAGTTTTCTCAAATGGAGAGCCCAGCTCCACATTTATAGCCAAGGTCTCACGTTGCTCATTTCACCAACCCAGCAGCATTTTCAGCGTCAGAACACCTCTGCCTTCCCCCATCAATCTTATAACTCAGAGATGCTCTAGGACAGGTTTGACCCTGGATTGAAGCTCCCAGCTTGGACTGAAATGTCAGAGACTCCCAAATGTCCTTATGATGATATTGGATGAAGGGAGGTGCAGCTCCTTCCCTGGCTGCACTGACAGCATTGCCCAGAGCCGGGCACTGGGGACAGCGTCACCCTGAGCCAGCGGTGCCCCCTGCCAGAGCCCCCAGGGCCGGGCAGCTGCTCCCAGCCCTGTGCTCTGCGGAGGGAACTGGGCCCGGGGCTGCAGAGCTGCCCCACGGCTCTGCTGCAGTTCTGCCTGCACAGGAGGGGCTGCACACCTTGGAGCCCCGGCCCTGAGGGCAAAGGCTGGGCTGGGGCACAGGAGGGAGGGGGCTTGTTCAGAGGGAGGGGCTGCACTGGAGGGGATCCTGTGGGCATCTCTAAACTCTCCCTGCCACAGCATTGCTGGGTTTTGTTTTCTTTCATTCCCTGATCTTCTCTCTGCTTCCTGGAAATTTTCCTCCTGCAGGTGTTTCCCTGTGCCTGATCTCTCTGTGCCAGCACTCACAGACTCCAAATCTCTGTGCACTCTCCTTGGCCCTGCAGAACCCTGCCTGTTTGCAGGGCACTGGATGGGGCAGGTTCTGTTTGCAGCTTGGAGAAAGGACAGCTCAGACTGAGCCTGATGGGTCATGCAAAGGTGATGCTGGTGCTGTCCATGGGCAGAGGAGTGGCTGAAAGTACATTAGGAATCTCCTGTGAACCTATTGATCACTAAAAGTAACAGTTCAGATTTCTCAGGTACTTGTCAAAATTCATAATCATCCTTTAATATTTAAACCCCTTCCCCGTCATCCTCCAATAGTAGGAAACTGAATACAGTCTTAGGAATTTTCCTCATTTTTATCAAAATCCTTGTCTTGGAAATATTCTGTGACTGATCAGAACCCCTCAGTACATCAGAGCTTCATGAGCATTTCACCTCCCCTGCACCAGAAATACCCAGAGTTGTACTCACAGAGTCTATAGGCATTGGAATGGTCCAGCAGCAGGAGATGGCTCCAGGAGCTGCAGCTGCATTGTCCTGCAGCCAGAGGTTCCTGTGCCAAGGGCTGGCAGTGATTCTGCCCCAGGCACTTCTCAGCACCTTCCCAGCCCTGACTGATTGAAGCTCTCTGTGCCTCTGTGCTGTGCCTGGGCTGGCTGCAGGCAGTGCCCCAGCCCTGCTGGGCTGGCAGAAGAGCTGCTCATCAGAAGAAATGTGCTTTTGAAGCTCTTCTTGGTTACCAGGAGCTGCATCTGTACCAGGAGCCCAGCTCAGCTCAGCAGCACAGATACAGGACTAGGACTGTAATGAGCCTCTGGGGCTTTGTGCTCAGGCCCTGAACATCAGTCCCTGAGAAGGAGCTGAAGAAACCTCTCCAGAACTCCAAGTCAGAATCCAACTCCAAAGTTTCTTGGACTTGTAATGGGTCCCACTGAGGGACACGACTGAGAAAGTGTCCCCAGGCCCCAGGCAGAGCAGAGAACTGGAGGCAGTGATGACAGGTGGGGACAAAGAGAAGCCAAGTCGTGGTGCCCTGGGGCACAGCAGGGTCTGTACCACCAAGGGCTGTGAGGAGACACCTTGTCCTGAGGCCCTGGGGCCTCCTGGCACAGCCCCAGCCAGGCTGGGCACTGGCAGCCCCTTGTCCTGCCCTCAGCATCCCCCCCTAGCTCACATCCCAGTGGCCTCAAGGATCTGCTGGAAGGAGTCCCTGGGGAGCCTTGCTCAGGAATGGGGACTCCTGAATGCTCCCTGCAGGGATTGCAGGTTTTTCAAAGGACTTTGGGTTTGGCTTTTGCCTTGGAGGCTCTGAGAGCTTTGTGCAATGATGGCCTCCAATTATCTGCTGTAATTAGTCCCTGGAGAGGCTTTGTCAGTAACAACACTCAGTGGGGCTCATTAATGCTTCAAGGTACTTCAGTTCTTTTAAGGTACTTGGTGTTTCCGTTTTGATACAGACTCTGTGAGAGGTTTGTGCAATCATGACCCCAATTATCTACTTTAACAAGTCCCTTGGGAGCTTTGTACTGACACTCAGTGGGGCTCATTAATACTTTGAGATACTCAAGGTTTTTAAGGTACTTTGGAATTTCCTTTCCACGCTGAGTCTCTGAGAGGTTTTTGTGCCATTCTGGCCTTCAATTCTGTCCTCCAAGGAGTCCACGAGGAGCCTGTGTTGGGGATGGACCTCAGTGGGAGCCATGAATGCCTTGAGACACTTTGCGGTTTTCTTCTGACTTTGACTCCTGGAAAGGTTTGTGCAATCTCCTCTCAGGCCCTAAGGTTCAAGGGCTCAGCTCCAAATGCACAGTGAGGCGCATGAGGATCAAGCAAATCCTGACAAACCATGGCTCTGCCTTGATTTCCCTCTGCTCTCATGGAGCTCATCAGGAAGCTGTCTGTAGTGGTTTTTGTTCACTAATTTGAGATTTCTTGGAGAATACAGCAATGATTGTGATGGGTTCAGTGTTGGCTATATACCAGTACACTCACTAGATTAGACGTACTTATTTCCTGCTGTGAGGTAGGATTAGGAGAAAGGCAAAGTAGCCTCAAAACTTTAAAAGGGTATAAAGAAAAGTTTATTACCAGTAACTAGAAGAAAGAGTAATATGAATGCAAAAAAAACTTTTGGAACACTTCTCCTCTCCCTGCAAGCTTTTCTTTCTTACTGACAATGAAAGAGACAAAACCTAAAATTTTCAGTCACTTTGCCACCTCTAGAATAGTTTTTCTTCAATTCACGTAGGGAAAGGAGTCTCTCTTCCATGCTATGGAAGCTTTACAAGAAAACATATTTCTTGTGGCTCTCAATTCCCATGAACATCAGCCTCCCAGAAAATCTGCAATCATGAAGTCCCTCCCATTTTTTCACATCTTTTGCCACATCTGTGTTTATGGGCATGTTAGTTTATGGGGTATTAGTTTAAAGATGAGCTGCTTAGGAACAAAGGTTCTCTTCATCTATTTCTGAAATCATCTTCATGTCTACAAACAGAGGTCTTCTTCTCTTCATGAGGCACAGGGTCTCATCACTAGTCTCTCTTTCTCTGTTCAAATTTCTCATGGGATCATAGCTACTTCAAGGTTTGCTTACTTTAGCATGGAGGTTTTTGCTGAACAAGTCATCTTCCCATGCTTTTCAATGCCTTATAGGGAAAAAGAGAGTCTGATGTATCAATTACATCCTTCTCCATTGCTTTACAAGAGGATTTCAGCTCCAAGATCAAGACATCTCCTCATCCCTCCTATCTGGGACTCAGCTTCCACTTCACTGACCTCCATGTCTTTGTGCTGCTCATGTATGTATCTGCACTTTGTCCTTTTCTCTCCCTCGAGGGAGGATGGAAGCACTGAAAGAGTTCATATCTCACCCGGGGCCTGCAAATGGTTCTGTGACCCCAGCCGGGCTCGGTGCTTGTGGCCGGAGCTGTTTTATGATGGAGGTTTCTGCAGCAGCTGCGCTGGGGCTGTGTCAGGATGGGCCGCGCTGGGGCAGGGCCAGGATCTCAGCAGCCAGGCCAGAACTCAGCAGCAGCAGCATGGCCGGGGCTGATGGCTTCTCCTCCCCCTGCCTGGGGCTTGCGGCTGAACCCCAACAGTGGCAGAATCTTGGCCGAGCCGGCCCGGCCCGGGGCTGCTCCGGGGCCCAGTGGATCATGGCTCAGCCTGGGCTGGCGGCGGGGCAGAGCTCAGCAGAGCCCAGATGGTCACAACTGCAGCCATGGCCCGGCCGGGTCTCGGCCCCGCGGCCTCCCCTGCCCTGCCCAGCAGCCGATGGGGCCTGGCGGGGTCCCTGGGAATGGGCCCGGCCCCACGGCAGGAGCCACCCGGCCCGGCCTGGCTGAGATGGGGGCCGGGTCTGCCTTGTTACCTCTTTGCCAGCCAGAAGGGAAAGAGACCCTCTGTCCTGGTTTGAAAAGCAAGTGAGTTTTTTGGGATGCTGTGGTTAAGCCAATCGGTACTCAGATTTGAATATTGGCACCTGGTGTGGCAACTGAGGACATGGGTACGCCTCTGAGAACACAGAGGGTTAAAAGCAGAGAACTGCCAAGAAACTTTCTTTTTTTTCCAGTGGGTGAAAGAAACCTGTTAGCTTTGTCTGCTATTTGAAATATTCCTGACTGTTGTATCCAAATTATTCCTAATTGCTGTAAATTTCTTGTCCACTGCATGTAATATTTTGCTATAATATTTTGTCGTACTCATAATAAAAGACATTAATCTCATTCTTAAAAAACAAAAAAGAAGAGGAATGAACACCTTAAGAACGTTCAAGTAATGCAATATGTACATGAGAAATTTGGACAACTATTAATTTTGAATAATGCAATATTTACATGAGAAATTTGGATAAAAGATCATCACATCTAAATCCCAATTGAGTGTACCACAGTGAAGCCTGATTGATTCATTAACTTCAGGAGAAAATGTGCCTGTGTTTTATCATCAGCAGTTCAAAGCAGTCACCTGGTCATTCCATCAGATACTGATCAGCTCTGAAAAATGAAGCCCAGTGAAAGGACAAATAACCTCATC